ATCATTATCATTATTGTTGTTGTTGTTGTTGTTTTGTTATTATTATTATCATTATTATTGTTATATTTATCATTATTCTAATTATTGAATGGATATATTATCTATATATGTATGCGTGAATTGAATTAAGAATTTATTTGGCGAAATAATGACGATAAAATTAATATTGTATATCGAAGATGTTTTAGAAATGACGATGTATTTTTTTATTACTTTTATCATTATAATTATGGAGAAATATGCAACATATGTGAAATAATATTTAACTTCACTCATCCGCGTAAAAGCAAATAAATAACAGAATCTTATGTACAAAAAAAAATCAACAACAGATATCCTCCCCGAACCAAACCTAGCGCTAAACTCTCCCGCGCCAATCCGCTACGTAGCGAATCCAGCCGCTTCTCTCTTTCGCTTATCAATTTCTCGCTAATAACAGACAGACAACCTCCCCCCTCCCCCCCATACCTTATCTCGATACGCATTTAATTAACGTATTCCCACGAACCCATTCCCAAACACAATTCCCAGATTCCCAGGTAAACGCGGAAGCTAGCGGAAAAACCCCCTTCGCTATATATGCGCTAGACGGTGGATAATCCGCGCTATCGGACAGGTAAATCGCTGGGGATGAGACCGATGACGCTGCCGATAACGTTTATTATCGCCGATATTGAAGGCGATGGCGATCTGACGTGTGTGAGAGAGGGGGGGAGGAGGGGGAGGAGGTAGAAGAGGAGGAAGAGAGGGAGAGCGGGAGGGAGGGAGAGACAGAGAGAGACAGAGACAGAGAGAGAGAGAGAGAGAGAGAGAGAGAGAGAGAGAGAGAGAGAGAGAGAGAGAGAGAGAGAGAGAGAGAAAGCGAAAGAGAAACAGACACACACACAGACAAACAAACAGACAGACCACAAAAGAAAGGAAGAGAGACAACCTGAGAGACAAACCTTCCCAATCTTACGCAGAAGAGAAAAACAGAAGAAAGAAAGACAAAAACATAAACAAAACAAAAACAATAGTCACAGGAAGGAGAAAAAAATAAACCAGGAGACATCCAGGAGCTTTACAGAAGTCGATATCGGTTAAATTCCCCGACAACTGTCCTATCTTTGGGTAATTTGATCGGTAGGAGGGAGGGAGAAGGGGAGGGAGGGGAGGGAGGGAGAAGGGAGGGGAGGGGGAGAGGGAAGAAGGGGAGAGGGAGGGAGGAGGGGAGAGAGGAGGGGAGAAGGGGAGAGGGAGGGAAGAAGGGAATAGAGGGGGAGAGGGAAGGAGGAGGGGAGAGGGGGAGAGGGGAGAGGGAGGGAAGAAGGGAGAGGGGGAGAGGGGAGGGAGGGAAGGAGAAGGGGAGAAGGGGAGAGGGAAGGGAGGAGGGGAGAGGGGAGAGAAAGGGGGAAGAGGGGGATAAATGGAGTGAGAGGGAGAGAAGGAAGGGAGAGGAGGTTAGAAGAGGAGGTAAAGAGGGTGAGGGAGGAAAGGAGGAGGGGGGGTAGGGGGGGAGGGGAGGGTTTACGATTCCCACAGGACCAGTACCAACACTGAGATCCCATTTGGCGATCCCTCAGCCATCAGTAGCGCGGGGTTTGATTCTTTGATGCGATATCCGATCCCGTTCGCGCGACAGGATTTTGTTTTTTTGGGCTGTATCCTATTCTCTCGTTTATTCATTCGTTTATATTTTATTTATAACTTTTATTTTTTTTTTGGGGGGGAGGAGAAAAATTGACGGTCAATTATTCTATTTTTTTACGCTTTTTTAATAAGTAAGTACCGTTTTTTTCCACATAATTTCCGCCTTAATTTCATACGAAAATATAATTATAACGAAATAAATAATAAATACACTTATACACAATAATATTCAAATATATTCGTCGCGAAAATTTAACACCTAAAAGAATATATAATTCTTCCGCGAAATTCAAAATTTACCATTAAGTGCGAAATCAGAATGTTGCCAATTCGATAATTTCAAGTAATATTTTACGCGGGATGATAATACTTGAGACGAATTTTTAAATATGCAATCGAGATGTTGATATCCATTTAACACGTTAATTTAACATTTGACAATTCATGCAATGACAAGAATAAGTTTACATTACCGAATATGTCTCATATATATATATATAAAATACACCTGGAGATCCCTTGTGCCTGTGACGTCATCACTGTCCGCCTAACCTACTGTGAGGGTAATTATGACGTCACACACCAGGGACAATGTGTATAAAATTACTTTGATCATTAAGAATCATATCATAGTGTATAATATTAATGTTAATTTGTAAACCAACGTTGAGATAAATTCGTCCCCTGATATAAATCAACCTCTAGCAATCTAATCGAAGAAATATAAGAGTGAAAAATTAAAGAAAAAAAATACACACTTTTACCTTACTCTTTACATCCCTCCCCCCCTCCTAAAAAAAAATAAACATACACATAACATATACACACTCCTTTTTTTTTAATCTCCCGCCCAGACCCTAACTAGCAGTCTAGCAACAACATCACCCGCTATAACAAAGATATATATAATGATCCCTTTGCAAAGTTACAACAATGGCCGCCGACCCGCAAAGGCTTGTGGGTAATTCAGAGAGCGCGGGGTTGTAGATTTTTTTTTTGGATATTTAAGAGGTCGTTTGGGTAGGAAAGAGAAAGGGGAAGAGTAAACATTTAAAAGAAAGTGATGATAATTAAGTGGGATAAAAGCAGGGAGAATAAATAATAAGAGATAGGTGTAATGCTGGCGTATATGTTTCCGCACATACACGGAGACGTACATACAGAAGCTTATGTACGTACACATACCCATGTTTACACACATACATGCATATACAGTTAAAGCTTATATGAGAGAGAGAGAGAGAGAGAGAGAGAGAGAGAGAGAGAGAGAGAGAGAGAGAGAGAGAGAGAGAGAGAGAGAGAGAGAGAGAGAGAAAGAGAGAGAAAGCGAGAAAATAAGAGAGAGAGCGAGAGAAAGCGAGAAAACAAGAGACAGAGACAGAGAGAGAGAAAGAGAAAGAGAGAGAGAGCGAGAGAGAGCGAGAGAAAGCGAGAAAACAAGAGACAGAGACAGCGAGAGCGAGAGAGAGAGAGAGAGAGAGAGAGAGAGAGAGAGAGAGAGAGAGAGAGAGAGAGAGAGAGAGAGAGAGAGAGAGACGGGAGCGCTAGTGAGAACCCATTTAACTCCATTTGAGAGACGTGAAACAGCGAGGCACTTCGTCATTGCCGTACTATGAATATTATATTCATGAACTCACGCTCTGGTGCTAGAGGGTGAATGGGGGGAGGGGGGAGGGGGAGGGGTAATAATAGGCAAAAGGGTGAAGGGAAGAGGATAATAGAGAGAGAGACAGAGAGGGGAGAGAGGGGAGAGAGTGAGAGAGAGAGAGAGAGAGAGAGCGATAGAGAGAGAGAGAGCGAGAGAGAGAGAGAGAGAGAGAGAGAGAGAAGAGAGAGAGAGAGAGAGAGAGAGAGAGAGAGAGAGAGAGAGAGAGAGAGTATGGAGGGAGTAAGCGAGGGAAATAGATAGATAGATAGATAAATAGATAGAGAGATGAAAGGATGAAGGAGGAAGAGAAATGAAAGGAGAATATACATTTTGAGAGAGATGAAAAGAAATAGAGAAACAGAAATGTAGAAAATATATCTAAAAAACAAACAAACAAGAAACAGAGACCGCGGGTACAAACAGAACTCCAAGCAATAGTTTTACCCCCCGCGCGGAAATTCCGTAAATATTGGATCCATCTTATACACCGTCGACCCTACGAACGGTTTTACATTATTAACCGACGGCATTCAAGAGTTAAGAAAAAAAAGAAAAAAAAAGAAATATGACCATTCGTTGGAACGTCACTTTAGCCGACGTCGGGGAATCGTAACCTATTTATAAGTGATAATATGAATCTGGCGATAAATGTGTACGTTTATTTTATATAGATTCCTTACGGTTTGGTTCGCGTAATGGGCTATGTATTTTTTTAGTTATATATAATGCAAAGCGCGTTTCGGGGAGTAATCTTTATGGCTCAATCATCTCTTTGAATTTTCGCTTCGTATTTCTGGGGAGCTGTGGCGGGGTAATGATCGTTAAATTATTGTTATCGTAGTTTTGTTGTTACTGAGGAAGGAAGGTGTGTTGTAAGAGAGGAGAAGATTATTCAACATTTGTTTGTTTCCTTTTTTTATTTCGTTTTTTATCTCTCTCTCTCTTTTACGTTTTCTCTTTGTCTCTCTCTCTCTGTCTTTGTATGGATCTCTCTCTCTCTCTCTTGCATTTTTTTCTATCTATCTCTGTCTCTGTCTATTTCTGTCTGTCTGTCTCTCTCTCTCTCCCTCTCCCTCCCTCCCTCCCTCTCTATCTCTCTCCCTCCCTCCCTCCCTCCCTCCCTCCCTCCCTCTCTATCTCACTACCACCCTCTCCCTCTCTCTCTCCCTATTCTATCTTTAATTGCGAATTTACAACGCAAAAGTTTTATTCATAACTCTTGAGAATTTCATGACAATCCATCCGCGCGCTGGTTTCCACTGTCCGCCTCAGCGCCCTCTATATCATAAACTCCGAACCTTCCATTCATCATTGCTCTTAATTATGCAACAGTACAGACGTAACCATTAATTATCATCGGCATCAATCGAGCCTTGAATGTAAGATTACGCAGTTGTTTGCAGTATAAAGTTTGCTCTCTAAAATCCTCTTGAAAAATAATAAGAAGCTTGGACTGTATCACAGAACAATAAGATTGCATAGAATCCCCAATAAATAAATAAATGAATGATATATATCTATGTCTATATATATATATATATATATATATATATATATATATATATATACACATAAATGATTTATCCTTAATTCACACACTACCCAATACACAACACCTTTAGAACAATCACACACAAACCAAACCACAAAAATAACACAAACCCGAACACCCTCATACCAAAAAAACAAAACAAATAAAAACCCAAAAACAACATCTTCTTACCTGGACTCTGCTCTCCGTCAGTCCGATCCTCATGGCCAGCTCCTCCCTCATGAAAATATCCGGATAATGCGTCTTGGCGAAGGATCTCTCCAGTTCGTTCAGCTGCGCGGGCGTGAATCTGGTCCGGTGGCGTTTCGGTTTCACTGACTTGTCCGAGTCGCTGCCGCCCACGCCCATCGTGCCCAGGCCGCCTGAGACCTGTGTGCGTGGAGGTGGAATTTGTGGATGATTTGATATATATATATATATATATATATATATATATATATATATATATACATATATATATATATATATATATATATATATATATATATATATATATATATATATATGTATATGTATATATATGTATATGTATATATATGTATATGTATGTATATATATATATGTATGTATATATTTATATATATACATATGATAACATTAATAATAATAATAATGATAGTGGCACTAATAATAGTAGCAGTAGTAATAATAATAATAACTATTATAGTCATTACAATAATTATGCTGATATTAATTGATAAAAATTATAACAACAATATTAACAATACCAACATTCATTCTAATAACATCAGAAATAATAATGAGAAAAAATTAAAATAAATAGTGATAACGACAACACCTCCAACGAAATAACAACAATACCCCTTCCCTTAAAAATAACTAACAAAGACAATAACACCCCCCTTAGAATTAGAATTAAGAAAAAAAAGAAAATTTAATCAGGAAATCCCCCCCCCTCCCCCAAAAAAACACAAAACTGATCGTCGGGACTAACCGTGAAGCCACTTACATCGGTTCTGTGGCTACCATTGTTGGCTGAAGACTGTGCATCCAGGTTGGCTAGTGTGGGCGGCCCTTGCTGGTGATGATGGGCGTGGATGAGGGCGTGGGAGGTGTGCGTGGGCGGCGGGGATTCGAGTTGGGTGAGAGATGTTCCTCCGTCGCCTCCTCCTCCTCCGCCTCCTCCTCCTCCGCCTCCTCCTCCTCCTCCTCCTCCTCCTTGGGTTTTGTTCGTCACATTCTTGTTAAGGTCGTCGACCAGGTCCTTGCTCACGCCTGAGGGAGGAAAGGGGAGACGTCGGTTTTGAAAATTAAATTCATATATCTAAAGAAATTTAAAAATTGGTTTTGAAACGAAACTGAACTGGGGAAATTTGGTTTTGATACGAAAATGAAATGGGGTAATTTGGCTTTTGAAACGAAATTAAAAAAGAAAATTTGGTTTTGATACGAAACTGAAATAGAGAAAACGATTTTGAAATTAAACTCTGATATTTGAAAATTGGTTTTGAAACGAAATTTTGAAATGAAACTGATATGAAAAATTCGTTTATGAAATAAAGAAATTAATTTCGTTTATAAAAAGAGATGGGTTATGTAACACAATAATAACACATATAAAGTATTGTATAATAATAATAATGATAACAATTAGGATGGTGATAAAAATGATAATAATGATACCATCATCATCATTATCACTATTCTTATTATCATCATAACTATAATGATGGTATTATTATCATTATCATTATCATCATTATTACTATTATTTGTATTATTACATGATTATTGTTGTTATTATTATCCTCATTATCATTATCATTGTTGCTGTTATTATTATTATGATTGCTATTATTGTCATCATTATTATTACCATTATTATCGTTATTATTACCATTATTATTATTACTATTATTACTATTATTATTATTACTATTATTATTATTATTATTATTATTATTATCATTATTATTATTATCATTATTATTATTATTACTATTATTGTCTTTATTATCATCATCATTACGATTATCATCGTAATTGTATTAACATTATCATTATTATCATATTGATTATCTTTATCACAATTAAAATTATCACTATAAGAATCATTACTATCGTCATCATTGTTATCATAAACAATCATAATAGTAATGATAATAATTATGATATTGGTAATATAATAATAATAATGATAATATTAATAATAGTAAAAATAATAATAATAATAATAATAATAATGATAATGATAATAATTATGATAATAACAACAATAATAATAACAATAACGATAATAATAATAACAACAATAATAACAATACTATCTATAACACTTAACAAAATCTATATCAACAACACTATCAAACAATTTAGCCGATAATAGACCACAAATTCACAGGTGTAATTTTATGAACCAATTCAACGTAAATAAAAAAAACAAAAAACAAAACAAAAAAAACACTACACAGGACACGAGTTCAATCACTTCGTTTAACAGCCAATTAATAATTTCCTGAATTTTCGATAAACAGCCGATGATCGATGTCATTACAATAATTAATGGGGTTCTGGTCAGACTTCAATAACTGCTTTTGTCAAATTATCTTTTCTATCTATCTATCTATTTTTTTTTTTAGATATTTATCCGTAAGATTTGAATAGAAATTTGCATACAAATATTATCGTTTTTTTCTATCTATCTATCTAT